ATGGATGAGATCAAGGAGGCTGTTTGGGATTGTGATGGTTCAAAAGCGTCGGGGCCGGATGGGTTTAACCTTCACTTCTTTAAAGTCTATTGGGAAGAGGTAAAGGCTGATTTGATGAGGCTGCTGGTAAAGTTTCATGAGTCACGTAAACTCCCCCATAATGTAAATAATTCGTTTATTATGCTAATTCCAAAAGTAGACGATCCAATCGAAATTTCTGATTTTAGACCGATAAGTCTAGTGAATTCGGTTTATAAAATTGTGGCAAAAAATTTATCGAGAAGGTTGAAGGTTGTTTTGGATAAAGTGATTAGCGATTCGCAATGTGCTTTTGTAAGGGAAGGAAGATTGTTGATGGGATTTTGGTGGCTAATGAAATCATCCATTCGATGTGGTCGGGGGCGAAGCTATGGGAGGCTTAGTCTTGAAATTGGACTTCGTGAAGGCATATAACTGTGTTAGGTGGGATTTTCTATTGATGGTTCTGGAGGAGATGGGATTTGGTTGTCGTTGGAGACCATGGATTTGGGGCTCTATTTCTTCAGTTAAGGTTTCAGTGTTGGTCAATGGGTCGCCTTCTAAAGAATTTCATATGAGGAGGGGTCTCCGCCAGGGGATCCTCTATCCCGTTCCTTTTCATCATTGTGACAGAGGCGTTGCATCAATTGTTAGTTAAAGCTGAGTTTTTGGGAGCAATTTGAGGAATCCGAGATGTTATTCCGAATCAATCTTTTACTCACCTTCAGTTCGTGGATGACACACTTGTGTTTGTGAAGCCCGTAGAGGAGTATGTAAGTAATTTGAGGCGCATTCTGAGATCAGTTCGGGTCTCCGTATTAATTTTAATAAATCTTGTATTGTGGGGGTGGATGTCAAGGTTTCAAAGGTTAATGAGTTAGCATTGCGTAGCCGCTATAAGGTGGGTTCCATACCTTTCAAGTACTTGGGAATTCCGTTAGGGGCAGATCCTCGAAGAGTTGTAATTTGGGATCCAATTATCGAGAGATTCCAAGCTAAGTTATCGAGGTGGAGGAGCAGCTCACTTTCGTTTTCCGGAAGAGTGGTCCTTATTTGAAGTTCCCAAAATTGTGATACGTAAGATTGAAAGAATTAGGAGGTTTTTTAGCGTTGAGAGAAATGCCCTTTGGAGGAGAGTTATTTCGTTTAAGTATGGGTGTGGCTCAGATAGTGATATTTTGAAAACGTCCAATATTAAGAAGTTATCGTTAATTTGGCAAGGTATTGTTAAGAATTGGAAAAAAAGAAGAAGCATAAATAGGTGGATGAGTCAAAATGCATTTAGATGGTTAATCAGAGACGGTAAGTTGGTGTTGTTTTGGATTGACATTTGGTGGGGGTATAAACCATTGAGGGTGCTGTTCCCTAGGCTTTTCAGGCTGGCGGCCGATAAAAGAGCGTTGGTAGCGGATGTTGTTTCTATTAATGGTTTGTTCGGGGAGAATTGGGCTTCTTTATTTTTGAGGCCGCTATTGGAGAAAGAAGTGATGATGGTGCTTGAACTAAAGGAATTTATCCATGGAGTTCAAATTTCGTCGAGCAGAATTGATCGTTTCACCTGGATTTATTATAATGATGGTCTCTTCTAGTTAAGAAGTTATCTCAATTAATCATAGATGCAGATGTGGGGGTTCCGGAATTTTATTTTGATAAAGTTTGGAAGCTGAAAGTTCCTTCGAAAGTAAGAAACTTTATGTGGATGTTGGTTTTGAATAGGCTTCCTACAAAATAATCTCTCGTCTCGGGGCTTGAAGCAGGCAGATTTCGATAGTAATTGCTGCTGGTGTGGTATGGCTGAGGAGGAGGTTAATCATTTGTTCGTGTCTTGCTCGATTATGAAGAAGTTTTGGAGCAAGATTGCTGCTTGGTGGAGAGTGGATTGGAAGGATTTTAATAGTATGGCGGAAATGATGAATTATTGTTTTGCGATCAAGCTAAATTCTAGTATAAAATGTGGGTGGTTAATGTCTATAGTTGCTGCTATTTGGAGTTGTTGGTTAAGCCGGAATGTTTTGGTATTTTAAGCGAAGGAGTTTGTTTATAAAGATTTGGTTTTTCATTCTAAATTGCGAGCGTTGATTTCGCTTAAGACTTTGAAAGGTTGTATATTAGTTAATGACAAAAGCTGGTGGGTTAATCCAGGTTCTTGTTTGTTGGATGGTAAATATTCTTCGTTGCGGAGTCACCCGTATGCAGATACTGTTGTTTTTGAAATTGTGGGTTCAGCGTCGAGGAGAGCTGGTGGGTTTGGAGGGGTTTGTTGTTCAGAAGAAGGGATCCTCAAAGCTATTTGTTCGGGCCTGGTTGGTGATCCCAACGCTGATTTTGCTGTTTTGGTTGGAATTAAGGTGGCTTGTGATATATTTGTTGAAGCTGGTTGGATTGGGAGTTTGTCTTAAGTGGTGGTTACTCATTCTCTCTTGGTTTATAATTGGCTGAATAATTCTGATTTGAGACCCGAGAATGCCTGCCAATTTTGCATGAGATTGATTCTCGTTTTAGGCAGATTAAAGCAGTGTCAGTGGAGAAAGCTATGGGTTTCAATCGTTCTTTGGCAAGTTGTTTGGCTGTCAAGGGTGCTTCAAGCTCGGGTGTTTTTAAAGGGTGGTGGTGATATCTCTGTTACGGTGTTTTATTTTTTCTTATTTTTTAGCCTGGTTGTTTGGTGTGTTGCTCGTGCTCTGTGGTAAGTTTTGCAGGTGAGGGAGTATTAAGGTCCATTGTGGTTTTTGAAGGCGGTTCAGTGTCCAAGGTTGAAGAATGGTGTTGCATGAACAGGTCTTATTTTTCATATTTTGATGGCTGTTTTGCCTAATTTGTGTGTCTGGTATTCCTTTTGTTTGTTGTGAGTAGTTCGTATTTTTTGGTATGTTCTGTAATTGGGTTTCTTCAGTGTGAGTTGGGTACTGTGTGTGAGGTTGTTGTAGTGTTGTTCTTGCGTTTAGTTAGAAGTAGAGCTGGGTATATGGGTTAAGGCCCGCGGGTTATCCGTTTAACCCGTGACCCGTGTGGGCTTCGGGCCTCAAAAATTGAAGATCGTTTAAATTGTGGGTTTTTTAGCCCGGACCGTTAAACTCACGGGTTTAATGGGTATAACCGTGGGTTACCTGCGAAACCCGCTAAAGCCCTCTTAATTTAAAATTTATAAAATTTTAGAGAAAATAAACTTAAAGAATTTTATAGAAAAAAAAATAAATTACCTATAAATATGATGTTACTTATAACTATTGTAGTTCTTAAATTTATTAGGGCATTTGTTATAATTTTACCGCTGTTTGATATTTTTTTCATTTAAATATACATCATTATCATTTTGGTATTTAAAGATTTTTTTAATTTAATTTTGACTTTTATTTTTTTCATGAAGTATGTTATCCATTTTGTTATTTAATTATAAAAAATCATGTAATATTTAGATTAAAATAAGAAAGAAAAGTAAAAGAAAAAATTGAAAACATATTTTTCAACTTTTAAAGACTTTTACAAAATAAACATATTTTAACAAATTAATGACTTATATTTTATCAATTTTAGTATAACTGTATCTTTCAAATTTACTCTTATACTGTAAGTATTTTATTTTATATTTTCATATTATGTTTTAGTCTTTCTCTAAAGTATTCATAAAATACAATTATTAGGACCACTTGACAACTTTCTTGTTAGATTTGTATAATGTTTGACTTTGTTGAATTTTTATGTTTAAATTTATGCTTTAAGACACTTCTGTGTCTTTATATTATAGCCTTGAATAATCGTGTTTTATAAAAGTATAATGTGGTTATTGTCTTATTTGTTTTTCAATTTGGTGATATAAGTGAATATTGTTTTTTTAATTTGAGTTTAAATAATTATATCATTATATATATATATATTAATGATTAAAAAAATTAAAAAAAATATTATTTTATAATCATTTCTGGTTATTTAAAATAAAATTTAAATATTATTTATTATTTTAACGGTGCTACATTCCTTTTAAAAGTTGTTCGGTCATTTTTAAAGGTGTAGTAAGTTAAAACATTATTTTTATTGCATTTAAAGCATTTAAAATTATTTTTATTTAACGGGCCGCTAGTAAGCCCGTGGGTTAAATGGACGGGCTGCGGGCCTTAAAATTCAAAACCGTTTATGAATGCGGGCATTTTAGTCCGTTCCGTTTAAGCCCGTACCGTCAAAACCCGCAGGCTAAACGGGCGGGTAGCCCGTATACCCACCTCTAGTTAGGAGAACTCTTTTCCTCAGTCTAGGGTTTTTTTAATGTGGTTCCTACTTAGGTTCATTTAATATTTTATAAATAATATTTGTCGATCAAAAAATTTTAATAATTTAGTATTTTCAATCATTTATTAGAAAAATAATAGATTAGTTATTTATCATCTTTTTTATTATCTATTAGTAAATTAATAATTTTTAATGAAATAATTTTTTTAAGAAAACTACTATAAAGTTATAAAAAAAATTAACGAGTTGCTCATGAACTTATCGAGTCGAGTTGGACTTCGCTCGACTTAGGTCGTTAAGGTCTCTAGCCTAGCTCGAATTCGAGTTGAGTCAACCCGAGTTGAGTTTTTACCGAGTCAAGTTCGAGCTACTCACGAACTACTCAACTCATTAAACACCCTAGGCTCTACCTTGTTTATTCATAAGATTACTCGTTCCTTACCCTTTTTTTTGTCATCAGATTGATAACTATATCATTAGTCAACAATTTGTTGTTGTAAAAAAATGGTTTGAATTTGATGATACGTTAATAAATTACTTTAGTTTTATGATGAAGGCCAAATTTATTTTGTACCTTATGTTGTTGTCTTGCATTTGAGATTAACAAAAGCAATGGACCATTAGTAGATTAACAAAAGCAATGGATCATTAGTATCCTTTTGCCTATGTTTTATGGAGTAACTGATCTATAGCTTTAGGTGGAGCTTACATATTCCTTTGCCTCAATTTGCAATTCTTTTGCTATTCGACTACTTTGTTACCCAATATCAAATCAGGCCTCCAAAAGGAGAGCAAAAGGAAGACACAGTGTTCACTGTTCAGTAATCAGTATAGGATCCATGTGCCAAGCTGGGTTCTTTTCCAATTTTCACTTCTAAAAAGAGTTCATTTTGCTCCCTTTTCTTGAGCATTACATAAAGCTCCAGTTTTCTTCTTTCTCCCTTATGCTTTAGTTAGGGGTGTTGGTTGAAGTTGGTGATGGCTGACCAAGGTGGTGACAGTGTTGTGACGAGGGAATACAGGAAAGGAAACTGGACGGTTAATGAAACATTGGTATTGATTGAGGCAAAAAAGATGGATGATGAGAGAAGAATGAAGAGAATTGAAGAGAGTGAAGGAAGGAGAAAACCAACAGAGCTGAGATGGAAATGGGTGGAAGATTATTGTTGGAGAAAAGGGTGTTTGAGGAGCCAAAACCAGTGCAACGACAAGTGGGATAATCTCATGAGGGACTACAAGAAAGTGAGAGAGTACCAAAGGAGAATAGCTGATAGAGGAGAAGAAGGGACTAACACTAGTGAAGCCACTTCTTATTGGGAGATGGAGAAGAATAAAAGAAAACAAAAGAATTTGCCTAGCAACATGTTGCGCCTCATATATGAGCGTGTGGAGGAGGTGGTGGAGAAGAAAGGAGATCAAAGGGTGGTGGCTGGTGGTGGTGGTTCAGGTTCCATTCTCAATACACCTTATGCTATGGACAGACCAGTTACCAGTGTGCAAACTTCATTGACTCCTCTATTGCAACATCAACTTTCAGCTCCCGTTCCCACTGCAATTCCATTAAGTCTATCAGCACCGCCTACAGCTGCTCCTGCATCACTAGTACAACCACCTCTCCTTTCATGTGCTCAGCCATTGCCCATAGTAGGAACTTCTTCCCTCTCTCTCATTACCCCTACATGAAGGGTTGCTTTGAGCCTTTGAATTTGCTTAGCAAGTTTTGATATTCCATGTTAGAGACAGGTGTTTATGATGATGCTGTGATTAAATGTGCGTTTTAGTAGCATCCAATTTAGTGCTTCATTGTTCTCGGCAGGAGTGAGAGTTGGCAAATTTCGTCGCTTATAATTGATAAATAATCACTCGCTGTGTCGTGAATTTTCAGTTAGTATTGATTGATTACATATATTTTGTTTTGGAGATGTGTGATAGCTCAGATTCTGATACAAGGGAGTATTCAGACTCACCAGCAAAGAGGAGGAAAAGAGGAGGTAATGGTGAAGGCACCAGTGGGAGCACAGCAAGTGCAAACAAGACAAATGAAGTGGGCACTGCAATCTCTAAAAGTGCTTCCATTATAGCAGAAGCCATCCGGGCCAGTGAGGAGAGAGAGGAGAGAAGACATAGAGATATAGTTAATTTGCACGAGAGAAGACTAAATATGGAGGAATCCAAGACAGAGATCAACAAAAGAGGCCTTGATGGCCTAGTCGACGCCATTCATAAGCTCGCTAATTCCATCCGTGCTTTAGCTTCCCACGATAACCAGTCAGCTCCCAAGTGAAGTCCTATTCACTGATTGATTAGAAAAAGAAAAAAAAAACTGCCCATAATCACATTAAACTGGTATTTGTTTATACCAATTGTTAATCCCCCACTCGTGACCTATATTTTATGTTGCACTCATTCTAATCATCTGTTTTCTTTCATTTCAAGTGTTTAAACTCTCGTATTTTATGTATAAACACAACTAGGGTTTGCTGTAACTTGTAGTACTACCAAAAGTGAAAGTACAAGCAAAATTGTATATGGGTTTATCTTCAATGAACCTATCCAGTAAATCCTTCATTAACTGAGCTTGTTCTAATGAATCCAGGTATTCCGTAAGTGCTTGACATCTAGGCTGTCATACAAGCTGCAACATTTATTTTACCTTTAAAAAAAATGCGAATGGAGATTTCTGTAAAGTATCTCATGACAGATATGTGAAGGAAGAAAATACTTGAAGGCTACACTCCCTTCTCAAAGAATATTGGAGCTGGCAGCTCATCTTTTTATCATTTATGATGTAGAAAATGTGAGATGAGCATTATTTCAGTGGTGGGTGGTCAAAGGGCGACCAGTCAAGGACCCAGAGGGGATGTCAGGTTTGGTTAGAGTTACAGAAATGCCATTCATTATTGGAGATAGTCTTGTATTCTCTTGGTTGTAATCTTCTGACAAAAGCGTGTGCGTACTGAAGTTTGCCTTTTCCCCCTCCACACAGCGTTATGATAGACAGCCAGGATACATACACATTTATATACAGTTTTAGCGACAGATTCTCCCTAAATTATACCTTTTCTTAATATGATACTTCAATTTTGTCAAACAGCCTTTAAGCTGAAACTATTACACGATGAAGGCAAAAGAATTAATAGGGCAAGAGATTGTGAAAAGCTGTCAGGATTATGATACCAGACATTATTTTCATGACATTCTTGTAGCTATGATGCTAGCGAAAGTGGTCATCAATTTTTGAAAGATGGCACGAGAACTTATAGCTAATATGGAAGAAAAAAATGTGATTTAAAATTTTTGATATATGTGCAGAGACAGAGTCAAGTATATCTCTATTATTTAGGGAAAAAAGTAAAATTTAGTATAATATATCAAAGAAAAATAAAAAATAATTTTTTTGCATTGAATTATTTTTAAGAAAAAAATTAAAATTTTAGATTCTCATTTATAATTTTCTGGACATATCAGTGTATATGTGTACAAAAGACATTATTATTTTATATTTTGTTGTTCCTACTCATGATGTATTAATTCCTGAAAAAAGGGGCATTTACAGGTTTTAGGTTTGTATTTTAACGATATTGAGAATAGTAGTGCTAGCTAATCCCGTGAGAGTGGATATTATAATAGTTGTTGGCACAGTGTACATTTGTTTGTAGTTAACTGTTGAATGGCTGATATGTGTGTTTTAGCTGAGAATTGAAGTGCAATGGCAGGGAGGACCCCATTCATGCCCCCACATGAATTCCAAATGGACGAGAATGACCTTTCGAATATGCCCCTTTCATCAACTACCAAAAAGTGCCCTTCTTAAGGGGGGAAATCGCCGATGCTCAACAAGGCCCATGCGATTATCAAAATCAGGGCTTCAAAGTTCTGTATATGAATCGAGAGTCCAATAAAGTTGTTCACTCACTCGCTCATTTGGTTTTGTCGAAAATTAATCTGTATTGGTTTTATTACAATGAACTTAATTGTAATAAATAGCTTATAATCTTTGATGTAATTGGAATATAATAAAAATCTTATTTAAGAAAAATACAAAAGTGTCCTTAAATCTGTAGTATGTAAACGGTGAATTAGGATAACTTTTAAATATAGTTTTCAATTTTTTAATTAAAACCTTATTTAGCTAAAATATAAATAACAAAAAGCTTGAAAATCAAGTACACGAATCTCCTGCAGAATAATTACTGTTCACTGTTTACCACCTTTGTGAGTGATCCCCTCTTTGCTAAAGTCTTCACTAGACCTCTAATAATCTTTCCAAACCACATCATGTTCAATATGCCTAATGCCGACGGTACTCCAAAAACCAAGACGTAGCCGAAGGTATGCCTCTTCATCACCTACTGACTCCATCCAAGTTAGAACATATATTGATATCTTCAGTTTAATATGAAGCTTTTTTTAGAAATTATAAGTTAATGCAGTCTTTTTATGTAGATTCTAAATTAAGAGAGACGTATATCTGGTGTCTTGTCAACTCGAAATACCTTCAAAATCCAAGGTTATAGTGATACCAGGACTTATTATGGTCTAAATCGGCTATCCTCTGGTATCTTTTCAATGAGTCCGGTTATGAGAAGGCTGTAAGTTTCTGAATTTCAAATGGACTTGTCCCCTAACAGTGAGCTTCCGAGGTCAACTGACTGCCGGTCAAGTTCTCTAACATGGAAATTCATTGCACTGGTCAACATGGTTCTGTTCTCATAGCTGTCTTGCTCCATTCATTCTCTGGCTGTTCTGTGATTGAATGGAACAACCAGGACTTGATTCCAAATCAATCTTTGTTGTGGAGCTCCAATGATGAAGGGATTAATAGGGACAAGTTTTTGGAGGTTCCTCAAATTGTTTGGGGACTAAATAACCAGAAGATAGCATTTGCAAGAGATTGTCTAACCGCTAGAATGCTCAATAGAACTTTTCTGGTACCTAGCTTAAGTGCCTCATTTTTCTACAAGGAAATTGACCGCTTGCAGCCTATTTTCTTTGATAAAATCTTCGAGTTTGATAAGTTCAATTCACTTTGTAATGGTTTCGTGCGATTAGGTCGTTACTCGGATCTTAAGAATCAAACTGGACTGGAATATATAATCTGCAAAAGGGAAGTGGAAGAAAGTGGACAGTTGAGGGAGATATGGAGCAGTTACTGCAAAGCAGCAGAGGTCATGTTGATGAGCATGAACTGATTAGAATTGTGGGAAAGAACCCTTTTCTTTGGCATGATCATTGGCCTGTTAAGGACTATGCGAGGGTCTTTGAATGCTTGGTCTTGGTTGATGAGATGTCAAAAGAAGCAGATAAAGTTGTGTCCAAGATTAAGCAGGTAGGAAGAAAGCTTAGGAGCAAAACCGACACGGTACAAAATGATTCTGGTGTCGTAACGGACGGTTCCTTGATGGCTGGAGCTCCTTACATTGCAGTCCATGTGAGGGTAGAAATAGACGGGATGATTCACTGTAAGAAGTCAGAGAAACGATCAGGCATAAACCAAATTTGTAGTAGCAAGCAAGGAATCATAGAAAGAGTAGGGAACACTGTCAGCTCAGGATCTCCCACTGTTGTTTATCTTGCTGTTGCTGATAGCATCCTTAATGATTCTTCGATATTGAGTGGTTGGAAGAAAGGGTTGCTTTCTTTTGAGAAGAAGACATTAAGGGTTGATGTGATCTACAAGAAGCATCCATATCTGATTCAGTCGGCAATCGACTACGAGGTGTGCTCAAGGGCTGATATTTTTGTTGGCAATAGTTTTTCCACATTTTCTAGCCTCATAGTTCTCGAGAGAACACAAAAGATGATGAGAATGGGCATCAAAAACTCATGTGGCATCAATATTAGATGGCCTTCATATGCATACAATATACCGGGGTAATCAAATGGTCCACAGAAATGGATGACTAATATGTCTGATTCAAGTCTCCAGGCAATTAGTTATGGTTCTAATGCCATCTCATGTTGAAGTTTGTCGCATACAATTTTCTGCTACACTACCCCAACGTGATGAAGTTGAATTATCTCTGTATGTTACTATGTTACATCATTCTAAACCAATTCATCCTGCTGGTTCAATGGTTGAAATGATATATATACATATAGCAGAGAATACCGAGATACGGTTGAATAGTGAAACAGGTACAGTTATCATTTTTTTCGTCATTTTGGTTTTTAGATCCAAGCTCTTGTTTAAAATATATTCTTGTTCATAGAGAAAGTACTCATCTTTAAGCCATAATCCATACATTTGTTTATATGTTTTTGCTAAATATCCTTTATTTGGTAACCTGTTCCTGGTTTCTACTCACAAATAGGGTTTTAAGTTCCACCAATTCCCGTTGTAAGATTACTTGCAACCTAATCTTTTATTACTCTTGCTTTGTCAAACAAGAAATCTTGCCCTTGAATTAAACGTGATTTATGAAGATTTTGGTGATAATTTGCTTTAGTCATTATTCCACTTTGTTGTTTCCGCCATTCAAGGATAGGAATAGAGTGGAAAGGTAAAGTGAATGACCACACTTTGTTGCCACTTGCCTCCACTACAATCAAAGATTTGTATTTTCGTGTGCTTTTCTCATCCAACGTTGGCCCCGGGGATAATGTTATGAATAATGATTAAACCCAGTATTAGGCTTTTCATGCTGAATACCTGGCTCCGTGTATATATATTTCAATGGAATGCGAAATCAAATTATAGAGCTAAAAGTAGCTTGATGACATGGAAATAAAGGCTGTCAAAATTTTTAACTGGACCGGATTCTTGTCTTAAATAGCTTGAAGACGTGTAATATCGGTTTGTTAATGAAGTTTCGCGGCTATCCACAAGAAGGGCATCCATGATCTGGCTGTAATAAGAACACATGAAGAAATAATTTTAATCTTTTAATATGGGTGGCCGGTGAGTGTTTTGACTTTTGGGCAACATGGCACAGCGTATTTTCCATGTGAAGTGTGGTGAATGCTTTTACATATATGCATGAGCGGCAGAATACGAAACTGTATTATATAAATGATAGCTACTTGATTTTGTTTGCTAAATGAGGACCAAACACTAGTTCTGTTATTAATAACCTAGAATGATCAGCCGCAGCGAGGATGGCTGGATCAGGCAGCCACATTGTAGCCTATAATGGCTGTTGGGAAGTTCAACCACATTAGAGCCAGTAACGCTAAAACCAACGTATCAACTCATGTGACAATCTCTTGAACAAGAACCAAAAGGGGATTTGTCATCAATAAGTTTTTACCCTATTCTTTCTTTTTATTCAAAGAAGAAAGCACTATCATGAACAGAGCCTTCACCAAGCTTTTATGCAAAGGCCTCAGCATGTAGTTAATGGCTAACAAGAACCACATAAGAGGGAGAAGGGACTAATCTCAAGAAATTTGTGTAAAAGAAAACGGAGCCAATAGAGTGAGAAACACTTTGCATCTCTTGTCAACCTTGTTTAACTGAAAACC